AAAATCATTTTCAATCTTACAAATTGAAACAGGGTTCTTACTTCTTACTATGAGACCAAGAAAATATAACCAACTACCTGATATGAGGGCCCAAAAGCTATTCCAGTTGATTTGACTTGGTCTTCTCGTGGTCGATTCTTCATCAGTTCATCCTGACTAACCTCAATTATCTCATGCGGAATCTCATTCCTACCTCTCTTGCCAGGAACCCTCGTCATATTTTGTATAGCGGCTGCTTCTGAAATTTCTGGCTGCATATCTCCACTTGATCGATCAATCCACTTGCTTTCATACTGCGCATAGTTCCCATAATCACTGTAACCCTCGTAACTATTATAGTTTGCAGGATCTTCACTTGTTGGAGGAGCTAGGCCGTAGCTTGAATGATCCGTTTGAACATTCTCATACGCATACCCTCCATTATTGCTGTAATCATAGCTCGCATAATCTGCAGTTGTTGTAACTGCATTCTCATTTGAATTAGAATTCGCATATCCACTGTAGGTATTATCGTGGTTTACATAACTCTCATCAACAGACAAATTCACATTGGAAGAGCTATCAGTAGCGAGAGAACTGTTATTATGATGCTTCACCTGATTATCACTGGCTTTATTAACAGTGTCCTTTACAACTTTTGAATTTGATAATGCTGGAACTTCAGATTCCAAGATCGATCTTCGACCCATGCCGGCGGAGGAGGGTAAAGCTCCAAGTGAACCCGAGTTCCTTGGCGCAGGGATACTCGACAAAAATGACTTGACAGAGGGCGCTTCAGGTATGGAACTATCCTTTTTCGTTTGTTCTTCCTTATCATCGTCTTCGTCGTCGTCGTCGTCATCAACAACTTTGCTCATTACAGGTGGCCGAAACTGAACAACTTTTTTAGGTTTAGGCCCCAGAGAAAACGGGTCAGATCTTTCGGTTTTTGGTTGAGGAAGTGAAGAAAATAAAGAGGCGGAGGATGATGAATTGAATCCGGATTGTGGCTGTGCAACCTTCTTGGGTTTCGAAGTTGTTAGGGTCTGTGGGGGAGGGTTTGAAAGTTGGGATTTTGGTGTTGGGAGAGAAGATAAGAAGTTTTCCCCAAATTTGGTTGCGGGTTGCGAAGGGAAGTTTGATTGGCTTGCTTGATTCTGTTTACGTGGTTGTTGTTGATCTTCATCTTCATCTGAAGATGCATACGTAGCTAGCAAAGAATCCATTACCGGAATCTGGAGATAAAACCCCCTGATTAATTTGGGGAATATGTAGATAATATCTAGGGTTTTGATCAGAAAATCGATTTCTATTGTTGCAAACAACTCGGAGGCGAGATGTCGCCGACTCGCCGGGTTGAAAAGATTGGGTGAGGAGAGACGTTAGTGGGCCAAAAATGAAATGGTCCAAGACTCCAAGTTCTTTTAAAAAGGTGAAATTTATTAGATATGTGATTGTTAAACAAAATTTATTAGGGAATAGCGATGGTAAAAAAAGATTTTTTAAGATGTGTTTTAAGGACATCCATAAAAATATTAATTATAAAAAATATTAGTATAATTAAATATAAAATATATTTTTATAAAAATATTTTTTATTGAAAAAAATATAAAATACATTGATTATAAAGAATATTACATATAGTTAATATATTTCATATTTAATTATGATAATATTTCATATAATTACTATTTTTTATATGTATCTGAAAGACACATATTATAAAATTTCAAAAAAGAAAATGAAATTTTGATAAACTAGAATTTATTTTTTAGGCTACTTGAATTATCGAACCAATATATTAATTATCAGGTTAATTTATATGGTTAATTAAATCAAAGAAAATATTGGTTTTCCGATTAGACATTGATTCATAATTTTAGAACAAAGATATACATATTGAACTTGTCTAAATGTCATATTCTTGTCATCTACTTATCAAAAGATTATTTTGTTTTATAATTTTATATGTTCTTTTTGCGTTATATTGATCGTGCATGTATTCTCCGACCTTTTCAATAGTTTTATTATATTTTACATGCTATTATTATAAAGTTATGTCAATTTAGTATTCTTGCCTATATTATTTATGATTCTCACAACATTAATCTCATGCACCAATAGAGTCCTAGAGTCTGACACTCAGTAGTATCAAACTAATTAAAAGTATTAATAAGGTGTTAGGTTTGTGATATTTTTCAACATATTTTTAGAAAAAAAAATCATTTTTTAAATGACAGACCACTTCAATGTTGAACTTGGGAGATTCAAATATGAAATTACTCTATTCTGAAGTGTTTATCTCAAGTGATCACTACTAGACCACCTTCAAGTGATCACTACTAGACCACCTTCATGGTGATACTTTTTGTAAGTTATTTACTCTAAATATAACATAATGTAAGGAGAAAACAACAATGGTGTTGCATCAATGTTGTTTTAGTATCATCATGTGATGATGGGTGTTCGTCATAACCATTGTAAAAAAATATCACATTAATTGGTTTTCTAGATTTACAACTAGAAAACAATCAACATTTCCAAAAAAGTTATCAATTTTTAATAACACAAACTATATGAATGTTATGATGGAACAAGAATATATTAGCTTTGATATTTTTTTTAACATGGAGGTAAGAAAGCAACTAAAAGGCCTATTCTAAGTTATATTTTTTTTTAAACAAGAAACTAAATATATTTTAATTTAATTATCATCGTACAATGAGTGGGATGGAAAACGGGTAACAAGCTGCGCCGCTAAACCTTTTTGTATGGTAAGCTAATTCTTTTAAAGACTACATCCATAGATCTAGAGGATGTACATTGCTATGCATGATCCATTGTACTCTATGTTTTACCAATAATGCCACAAGATATTTTAATTGTCCAAGCTATTATCAGAACTTTGGAAATTGTTTTCTTTTAGTGACATAATTATAAATTCAAGGAGGACGTCATTGATGATGGATTACGTTTAAATGTTAGTGATGCTCAAAGACTACTATAAATCGAGGCAAGATGATACAACTTTTGAAGATTGTTTGAGTCCATTAGAAACAGAACTCTTTCAAGATGAAACTGAAAGTCAAAAGGGATATCCAAACACATCTCAATATTGGGGAGGTCCGGAGGTCGGGAATTTGGACGCTTTCAATCTAGCGTTGTTGTACAAATGGAGATGACGGTTTGTTAATGAGAAACTCCTTGTGGGTTTATCTTACTAAACTCTTACATGGAATTGTCGGTGGTGTTGTAGGTGGAATCACCCATACAACTAGTACCATGGTTTGGTAAAAATTATTTGGTCCATAAATAAGTTGCATGATGTGGGGATAGTTGATAGAGCTACCATATTTCGAGTGCTAATATATGGGTCGTCTACTTGGTTCCGGTTCGATTCTTGGTGTGGTGGTCTGATTTTTAAAGATCAATTTGACATGTTGTTTTTTCTGGTGATGGATCGGGAGGTAAAGGTTAGAGATTGTTGGGTCACACAAAATTGGGTTTTTTCTTGGAGAAGACTAATAAGGGGAGGATAAGAGACTAGGCAGTTCGAGAGCATGCAATCCTTGTTGAGTTTCGTTTCTCTTGGGGTGCAAACTGATAAATAGGGTTGGAATTTGGATCTGTCAGGAGTCTTTACGGTTAAATCAACTCGAAACCACATTGATGAGGTTAGATTACAAACAGGAGGAAGGAAAACTAGGTGGAATAGAAGTTTCCCCATCGAGATTAACATATTTATGTGGCGATCAGCTTCCCGCCTTCATACTCGGGTTAATTTTATCCATCGTGGAGTAGACATGGAGTCGACTTTATGTTCGATTTGTGAGGTTCGTCAGGAGGAAGGTTCTCACCTGTTCTTTATGTCCGATTTGTGAGGTTCGTCAGGAGGAAGGTTCTCATATGTTCTTTAATTGTGATCTAGAATTATATGTGTGGATTCGTATGGCGTAAGCATAAAGCTTAGTGAGTTTCCCTCAAAATATCTCATACGATAAACATACTGTTAGATGCATTTCATGCATGCATTTTGTAGTTTTAATCCATAAAAGTGCATTGCATTTAGATTTAAACTCATGCATTTTGCATATTTTTCGATTTTTCATGATGCAATTCCATTCACACACTTTTATGATATTTCAGGGACTTTTGAAGGAAGAATCTTAGTTGAGGTGATGAAGAGGAGATATGGACAAAGTTTCGGGACAATTGGAGCATCGAGGAGGAAGTTATGAAGAAAATGAAGATTTTGGCTTTACAGGAGTTTACACGGCCGTGTAAATGGAAGCCTATAGTTTACACGGGCCGTGTAAACGCATACTCGTGAGCAAT